GGACACCTGGACAGGTCTCCAGTCCATCACAAGGACACCTGGACAGGTCTCCAGTCCATCAGGGACACAGAGAGACAGACAATCCCTTCAGAGTCAGCAGGAACTTAACAGGCGTGTTTTCCTTCTGTGGGAGGAAACGGAAAAACACCCACGAGTGCAATGATGCACCAGCTCTAACCACTGCACCACCATGCCACTTAGGTTTTGATGTAATAAAACAATAAGAAGAACCAATAAAGGAAATAAATATTGCAAATGAATTTCCATTTTAGTTGAACCTAATATTCCTGCTCCTAAATAAATGTGTCCTGGTGTGTTTTGACACTATTTTCAATAAACGTAGAGTTTTTTACTCAAATCCTTTGAATCCGTTGCTGTTTGTGAACTATTTGATGAGGACAACATTTCATGAGGACAACATTTCAGATTATCAGCACTTTTCACATGTAAATAACTTGAACGTGTTGACATAAATATTGTTTAGAGCACAGCTTTGTGTGTTTTTGTGATCCACAAGAACATTTCAGGGTACAAACAATAAATAAACTGACCTGAACATAAGAGAAGAATCACAGTCTGAGGGGTAATTAGGCTTAAACACAGATTATTAGAATAATAATAAGTAAATAGATTAAACAGAGACTGATACAGAGAGTTTATCCTCACTTGATGAAAAACAGTTTTTATGTCCAGAGCGAGTTCATCTGGACCTTGTAATAAATATTAATTAACCTGATATGAACATGTTCCATATCTGATCTTTTACATAAAAACATTCTTATCTGCAGTTGTTTTTTGTTTGTTTGTTTTTTGGATAAAACAGTAAACAGTACAGTTACTTCTAAATAGTAATAAGTTAGCGTTATAGAAATATAATTTATATTTTATGTCAGTAAATAGTAGAAAATGTTCCTTAAAGTGACGTTATGAAGCGTAACTCCATGAGGAGCTGCAGGACGAGTTCAGCTGATGCAATCAGAGTAAATAAGATCAGTGACTGTTCTGATTGGTCCAAACTTTATTTATTTTAAATGCTGCACAGCAAAATGATGCTAATTACACCCGACACGACAACTTGATCCCGCTATATGAAATAACTGTACAGCTGCAGACAAAACAAAAAAAGCTTTGATGAAGAACAAATAAAAATAAATTAATGATGATTCGAACAGAAGTTTTAAATTTGGGTTTGATTTACTCGTGAGAATGTTATAATCTGTTTGCAGCTCTCGTCTTGGTGAATTTGTTTTTGTTTGTTTGTTTTCATTCACTCTTCACGAGGAAAAGAAACGTGATCAAAGTGTTTTTTGGCTATTGCCTGTTGTGTTCTCTGTGAAATGTTGTCGTTCAAAATGACATAAACAACAAACTATTTACCTTTTTTTTTTCGGACTAAGCTGCATTGAATTATAAAGCTCACTGTCAATTTTTGAGAAAATTAAAATATTTTAAGTGTGCCTTATAGTCTGAAAAATACAGTATAACAAATTAATTCCAAAGTGTGTGAACTTTGACCCCAAAATAAAACATTACTGAAGTGACGTGACAATTTACAACAAACACTAATGTATTCACAGGTTTGTGTTGAAATAAAGGCACTTTTTTCTAAACACTTTTGCACATTTCGTAAGAAACACACGAGCAGAACGCCTCAAATAGTCTCATAAATAAATAAATATGTTGTAAAATAAACAGGAAAAATAAAAATATTAATGTGGTTTCATCACTCTTCATGAAAACTTTTTTTTTTTTAACCATTCTCTAAAACTATTTTAACACTTTTACTTTCCTTATGATAAATGTGACTAAAGTTAAATGTTAAAATATAAAAAGTGGAGGCTACTCAGCTTGGACCTCGTTCAAATACTGACTTCCAGTCATGTTCCTGTACTTTAAGGTTTGTTGGGTGTGGCAGCCATCTTGAATGGAGTGGGGTTGCAGATGTCCATCACTTTCTGGGAGTTTACTTCAAATCTGTCCACTGGTTCATGAGATATTTTGCTAAAAAAACAGACAAATACACAGACAGAAGCTAAACATTTTGGCCCTTTCTCCTTCATTGGCAGCTGTTAAAACAAAGAAACTGGCTGTAAAATTACATCCACAGCACGGGATAAAGCTTCAGCTGCAAGGCATCATGGGTATACTGTCAGCACGTCGACTCCTCATTCATCTCGTCTATATCTTCCACTGATTCTTCTTTTCTTGTTGAAAACAGATGTGCTGCCTGTTTTTAAAGTACTGTGCTTACAGCTGATTTTTACCAGGAGTGCTGCTAAAAGGGGGGCTGAGGGGGGTGACGGCCATGCCTAATTAAATGGTGGTCCCCCCAGCCTCCCTTAGCCGGAGATTTTCATCACTTTGAGTCCTGAGATTTGCTTCATGTGCCTTTTTTATTAACTGTTTAGGAAAACCTCCTAAACATAAAAAACATTGTTTTTTTTATCAATTAGGAGTTAAAAACATAAATACCTGTATATTTTATTTACAATTAAAAACAAAAACCTGTTTCCCGTGAAATGGTAAACCAGTCTAAGACCAATGTCCTCAACATCTGGATGTAGGTCTCAGGAGGTAGACATAATATTTTTGATATAAATATAAATGAAAGGACAAGCTTTAATAGCTGGTGAAGTGGTGTTGGTGCTTTTCCAGTGAGAAATACCAACTGTAAATAAATAAATAAATAGGGTCTATGTAAGGTGCTTCTCTAACACCTCTATTGTTGTTTTTGTCTAACTGCCAAAAAATGACAACATAACAAATGTCTGGAAATTCTTTACTGGCTTTTGGTTTTGGTGTCTCCCCAGCATTTTCAGTGGGCCCCACATACAAACATTTCTGAAGCCGCCACTCATTTTTACAGTGTTTGTACCTGCTCTGCAGTATATCTGATTTAGATTGGTCTTATACCTGTTTTTACAATATTCATGCCTATCAGTTCTTATAGCTGTTACTTATAACTGTTTTTACAATAGTTGTGTTTTTTTACAGTGTTTATACCTGTTTTTACAGTCTGTTTTTAAAGGTTCTTATACCTGCTTTTACAATAGTTAGATATATTTTGTGACAACATTTATACCTGGAGCATTCTCAAAAATCCAGGTAGAAAAATCTAAAAAAGTTAAGTCTGGTCCTCTGGACGGGTTCAAAAAACAAACAAATTGTAGAAATATTTCGTCATTCAGCCAAAAGACTTCTTCAGTCTGAAACATACTGAAGAAGTCTTTCAGATGAAAGATGAAACGTTTCTACAATTGTTTTGTCTTTTGAACCCGTCCAGAGGGCCAGTAAATATTTATGCCTGTTTTTACGGTAGCTAAAATGTTTTTGTCCATATTTATACCTTTTACAATACTTG